AGATATGTGCCTGCGTTCTAGCGCATTGACTTCAGCGTCGAACGCACAGAAGTTAGCATACAACGTATTGACCTTGGTATTCAGTGCGCTGAACTTGTCCGCCAAGTTATCGACCTTAACATGAACCAATGCGACTGTTTGGCTAGGCGACTGGAAAATGTCTCTGATCTCTGTTTTAAAACTATGCGTTTCCTCCTTAAACGCTGGCCTCGTCAAAGCCCTCTTTTTGGCTGGACGAACAGCACACTGCACTTTCATGGGTGTTTCGACAGGCGTCTCCACGAGTTTTTCTACGAGCATTTCCATGGCCGTTTCCATGGGTGTTTCCACGGGCGTTTACATAGGCGTTTCCACAGGCATTCTGAGTCTAGTGACCTGAGGAGGTTGTGGAGCCTCACTCTTAGCGTTATTAGCATTCCTAAATGTGACTATCTCGACTATAAGTTGCACGATCGCCTCTTTTTGTGCAGCATTCTCCCTTTCCAGCTGAATAATTGTATCATTGTTCTGCTCTGGCAGTATGCCCCCCGTCACCTGTTTCTGGGAACCTTTGACGTGGTCAGCCCACTCGGTCGGTGTGGCAGCCGGCACCTAAATGCTGATGACCGGGACCCGTGATCGGGAACAGCTCCGGAACTGGGAACGGCTTGTGGATCGAGGACCGCTCCTGTATCGGGAGCGCCCCCTCGAGCTCCTGGACTGCAACCTGGACTTGTTGGCCGGTTCAGACAGGAGATGTATCGGTGGGAAGTCTTTGTCAAAGTCGCGTCTCTCCCTTCTGTGCTGTCTGACAATGTAAGGTATCTCGAATCTTTGTGTACAGGTTCGGTCGGCCTTTGGATGAGGCCCTCCACAGAAGGCGCACTTCGGTGAGCAAACGTGCTGGTCGCCAGGGGAGGTCATTACGCAACCTCGACAGATAACATTTCCTGGAGTGGGGCACACGTCAGCTCTGTGGCCGAGTCTACCACAGGTATAGCAGACATCCGTCTGTCGTCGGTAGAGGGTGAACTTGACTATGCTGGGACCACACATGACGCAATTTGAAACTCTAAGTCCTTTGAAGAGGGTGAAGAGGATAACGACTGTGGTAGAATTCTTGATTCGCCGCACTTCGAGAACAGTGGGATTCCTCGGCTGAATAAGAAGTCTTCTGAGCTCTCCGTCGTCAATTTCCATATCGATGTTTCTGATGGTGCCCTTGCATGCGTTGTCGGACACAGCAATGCAAGAGCTAACCTGGTATCTTGCATTATTAACGGTGATTGCCTCTAGACTTGCATAGGTCTTGGCGTTGGCTTGCGATGGCGTTCTAACCACAACAATGTTCTGCATAGCGTTAGGAAAAATGATGTCTTCTGTGATATTTGCAGCGGAGGGACGCCCCGCTGTCGTGAGGGCTTGAGAAATCCTGACGTTACTGGTATTCTTAACGTTCAGGCCTCCCCAAGGCCTAACACTGATTCGAAAATGCTCCCTTGGTACATGAGGCAGCCTTGACACGTTAGTGAGGCGTTTCTTCACGTTGGCGGGAGATTGGGTGCCAGCGTTCTTGCTGTATGGAGAGCCTTGAACTTCAGTGCCCGCCATGGCGGCTTTCGTTGACTTACGCTTAGAAAGCGCCGTTGTCCATCCAGAACACTGGAATTCTTCGGGAGAAATGTCCTCTCCTTGCACAGTGACTTGCATAGCCATCTTGATAGCTCAAACGCGCTAAGTCTAGCGTTAGGCTTAGCTATGCCTAACCTTAGGCCTAGCAACCCACGGCGTTTTCGAGCAAGAAAGTCCTTCAAAACTTGGTAAAAGATCCAACCATCGTGACAAAATTGTTTGCACGTGGTCCTCAAGACTTCAGGCGTCGACTGGAGCAAAAGGCATCAAACACATAGCTGACTTTCACAGAAAAAAAAGGTGAACAAGCAAGAGCCGATGTTTAGACGACCGCATGAATAGGCGCCACCTAGCATTTCCATATGAATTTTGAGTCGAATTTTTGCGTCTAGTTCGCTATCACGTTTGATTGCGCCGTAATTGTGTGCACCCATTGCTCATCATGTAAGAAAAGGGTAGCGAGCCTAAAACGCACAGCTGTTTCAATTTTATTCCTTGCCGAACGTTATTCGCGGTATATCAGGCTATACATTGGAGGTCCCGGCGAAGCGTCGTGACGAATGATTCAGCCGTCTTCGCCAGGCTGACTTTCACAAGGCTAGGAGGCGAGTGCTTGGTTCACCTGCGAATAGATACCCAGTTGAGTTGGAATTCTCATAGCTTTGAGTAATTCAGACGCGATTGGAACACGGAATAAAAGAAATCGCAATAACGTAGTAAGTACTGCAAATTTCAAGGTTCTGTCAGAGACGTCTGCGAAAAGCACAACACAGTGCAGTACTCAACTTTGTACTATCGATACTTTACAGTGCGAGCTTAAAGGAGAGGCACACTGCTTTTGTGTATCTCGCTAAAGTGTTCTTGCTCAGTACACTTGCGTCAGAGCGCACGTGGTTTGTAACCTTGGTATAGTGAATAAGCTAACGCCCTAGATACTTTTCATTGGATTGATCAAAGGTGTGGGTGAACCAATCACGTCATAGTTCCGGTATCTTGTGCGCGCTACCACAATCGAATGCGCCCCGTGTATTGGCGTTTGCAAGTACAAGTTCATAAGCACTGTTAAGCCCGTAGTTCCAACTAGATTCATAAAACATCACACTAGTATAAAATATTTGTGTAAACTTGAGTTTTCAGTTTACAGATAGAATATAACTTCAGGTTATTTTACCTTTCCGCGCACAGCGACGTAGTTACAGAGACTTTTCAGTGACGGTTTGTGGGCAAGCCCACTAACTAGTCAAGCATCCGAAGATTTTTTGACTTTGAATCGTTAGTGCGTCAAAATACTTGTATGTAAAATACGGTCTTTTATGTCTCAGAGAACGCTAGATGAGTCTGGTGTCAAATGCGGCCTCCTAGCTCCCCAGAATAAGTGGGTCAATGCACACTGCAGAGAGCAACTTTGTCCGTGCATCACTCTTTATCAGTGTCAAATTTCTCGGCACACACACTCAAGCGAGCTTAGCACGCATGGCCAATGGCTGCAGCAGTTTCACAAATGCGTAATCTCGTACCATCTAAAGCCAAATGAAATTAAAATCAGCGCAACGTACCCGCAGTAACTTGAGTTACTACGTACCCGCAGTAACTTGAACCGCCAGACTGTACCGCCGGCCACCGGTATGCAGGCCTTCAAAATGGTGGCTACGTGGTTACCAGCACAGCTGGTGCACTCTTCACTGCCGCGCCTGTCACGTGAATACAACGTATACTTCGGAGTTGATCAGCGTGTTTTGGTTGCATACATCCAGATAGGGTCTGACAGGTGAAGCGCTAAACATAAAGGACCAGTTGAACTAGAATGATTCGAATCGGCAAGATGCTACAGACGTGCGTGAATTTATTGCAGCTTTCATTATTTAGGCGAAAGGAATGTTGGGCACGACAGGGCTATGGAACGATTCACATCAGCTGTCATGGGCCGCTATTGTTGCATGAGCATAACACAAGAGCCACGCGTAACACGGGTGTCGCGCGGCTACTCTCTATCGCTATCCAGCTCAATTTAGTGTAAAACTCGGAAACTACAACTGGCTTCACCACAGTGTTAACGGATCAGCCCAATGCGACGAAAAAATTCCGTCCCTAACAGGCTTTATCGCCACCAAAAGTGCGAAAATATTTTAATTTTCTTGACGGTAAAAACAGCTGGAAATAAGACGAAGCTAATGTGTCATCAACTCTAAATATATATCTGACTGGTTCAACGACCGACGCAATTTGTTTCATTATTACATTCCGAGAACGCAAGCATAAAATCAAGGCTTCTAGGCGTGACCAAAGTCAGCGAGTTTCGGTCGTACCTGGATAAAAACTAGAAAGCAAATGAATAGATACATAAAAATAAGTAAATAATGAAATGAAGTAACGCTAGTACTTTGAAGCGCGAGTGCTGCTCCTTCGGGGTTGGTGAGGCACTTTACCGCAAGATATTTGAACCCAAGGTGCCGTAGCTTGAATGAACTCTGCTACCTAGAGTTATATATAATGTGAGAGGGCCATGAGTGGCCCCGACTGCTCCACTATTGAGGTAGCATATACATTAACTCTATGACCCACCAGCTGTTAGCGCCATCTGTCGCATGAAACGTAAATCGCCAAGGTGGTGAACATAATCTAGACTCGGCACTGGGGGCAGTGCCATAACTAATGATTTTTTTGCACTCTCTCGTTTTTTCCCACGCAGCGTTTTGTTCTGCCCCACAGGTAAGAGCAAAAGTAGACATACGAATAATTTTTTTTATCTAATTTAAAAATTATGATTTGAACCGTGGCAACATGGAAATAATCATATAGTAGATATCTTGCACCCAAATGAAAGTGTTATGTTGATGTTCATGGGTAAGAAAAGAAATTGATGTAGGTATTGACAATTCTAAAGTTTTCGCATTTTACCCTACTTTACCCTATATGCCGTTACATCACCCTAATTCCCAGAAGAGGCTTGTTTATGATCTGTCACATTCTTCGCTTCTGCCCAGTTTGTAAGGGTGTATGTACAACAAGAAGGGTCCCCATTTTTACGTGGGAAAGCGCAAGCACCCGTCAGTAGGATATTAGTTTAAATCGTTTGTTTTTGGCAAATTGGTGACATTATTATGCTTATGTACGATATTGTGTTTGTTGTGACCAGAACGTAGCCACGTTGTGGTTCACGTGTTTATTATTGCGCGAACTACTATTTGAATTGTGAATAAAAATCAATTGTGATTACTAACTGATTGAAGCATATATACAGTGTGCTTTTGAGTCAACAACATTTGATTCTGAACTAATTGAGCTGTTTTCTATCGAAACAGGTATTGCATGCAATAGTGGGATTTGCACCGAAGACAAGGGAATTCTTGTTAAAGATGCTGGTGCGAGAAATTCCGGAGTCCGCACGACGACACATGAAATTGCACATACGTAAGTGTAGTGAAGAATTTTCTCGATAATAATAAACACTGGCTAAAGGTCGATACGTGCTAACGTAACGGTTCATTTAAAAAACACTTGCGTCTTTTCCTTAACTTAGTTCACGGGCATCAAACTCACGTCAGATGGAGTGCCACAGCCACAAAATTCAGCCTTCCTCAAGGACAGTGAAGAAGACAGGGTAGAGAGAGCGTTGAACGAAACTCGAGCTTGCTCTGCGGTTTTACGGAAGGCCTTTCTCATATATCATATTTGGGATATTTGTGAAGACGCCTTGAAGGGAACGCGAAGGAGACTTGTGAAGGAGGCCTCATCGGTGGATCACCTTCGGAATAGCTAGCCTGTTTTGTTTGTCGGTGCGTGCTTAAACCGTGCCGCAAGGAAAGCAGCGAAGACGCGCGTAACATTTGCTGTATCAAAGTATCATTGAAGGTTTACTGCCGACATAGTTGTTCAATGTCCACAATAATCATCACCACCTTCACAACTCGCATTGCAGATAAAAGGCCTCCCTCAACGAACCCGGTCTTCACTATGTTACATATACAGTGTGGTGGGTAACGTTGCGCATTCAGTCAGATAAGCACTGGCAACGATTCCACCGATGTGCAACGATTCCCACCCTAGACACGAATCAAATCGACCGGCAAGAAGTTACTCTATTATACTATAAATATGCCTTTTGCAAACTGGTGAATGGTTCATTACGCAGCTGTTTACAGTGTTGACGGTTCAGCTGCTGCAGATGATCAAATGTGTCATAATGATCTTTAATAGGCGGGCCTTTCGAAACACCGACTTATTGCTCAGTTCACATCTTTTAGCGTCTTTTAACTCCACAGCAATAGAGGCGAATGAGCAGCTTATAACACCAGGTGATACATTATGCTTTCTTCAGAACCACGACTTGGGAAAAAAGAAAACATGGTGGGGCTTTGACGAAAAAAAGTGTAGGCCTTCCAAAATATGTGGCAAATGCAGTATTATACCTGGAAGCGAGAGCACCACCAATTCAACCTACCGACGGGGCATACTTTATTACGGCTGCACGAAACACTGTCTAATCGCACTCACATAATTTCAATCTCCAATCCCGATTTATTTTTCTCCGAGCACTGGCCTAGATTACGCCAGCCACATATCCTACTTGTACAAACATTACAAGACTCTTTAAATGTACGACTTCAGTATGTGCTTCTCTTGACGACGCAACCTAAATTCATAGATAATGCCTACCACGATATTGTTCCGAACATTGCGAAATTATCAGCATACGGAATTTTAAATGGACTGTTAGAAGAGTACTTATGAGGGTACTTGCTTGGGCGGGTTGGTAGCGACAAGAGCACCTAAATATTCTGCCAACGAAAGTGGTTATTGCAACTAATCCATCGCAACTGAGGAAAAACTGGCATAGAAATATTCTTCCCTGAACTTGAGTGGTCTTTTTCTTTACGACAGCCTGATTTGATTCCAGTTCTTATAGCTGTAATTATGGCCATATTATTACCTCGCCAAATGATCACAAGTACAATCACTGGTACTAGTTACCGCGCACCTTCAATGGCTCCACCAAATTTGGGTTCAAGGTCCCAACGGTTAGTTTTTAAACGAAAGCGCTAATTCTTTAGCAAAGGCAGTGCTTTTAGTGCCACTCATTGGGGTTTTTCCACTGATAGCATACATTACATTCGGAAGGTTCCACAGCCAATTTTAAAAAAGATGCTTAGCAAACCCTCCTTTTACAGCTTTTTCAGATTATAAGCAACTCTTATTTCCCAGAAACGGTGCGTTATCGCGGTCGAAATTATTAGAAGTGGCTATGACAAAACTACGCTGCCGGGTTACCTCTCTTCACTTTTACCTGCATAGAGCAAGTCGAGCGCTGTCTCCTCTGTATTTTTTCCGGAAGTAGGAGAAAACAATTAGTCGTTACCTTCTATTTTGTCACCGGTACTCATCCTTATGGGCCAGATTCCCACCCCGCCTCTTCGAAATATGAATTAGGAAATAACCTAATTCGTTGTGCTTTCTTTCTGCACCTCTACTCTGGGCTACAGTCGTTGAGATGTCTACCACGTCTTTGAAGAATTTATCAGTCAGACTAAAAGAATATCGAGCAAACTTCTTCACCCTTTTAACCATTTCAACACTAATATTGTGTAATTAGATTTGTTCTATTAACTACCCTTAGCTTATAAAAATATATTGCCAAGAAACACTTAAAAAAATTCACCTATATACTTTCGGCCAATCCCCTGCATTGGGTATTGGCCCGTGAAAAGGCCTTCTTCTCCTTTTCTTATTAGCCATGAAAAGAGGAGAGAAGAAGAAGAAAAAAAAGAATACGCACGAGCGCTCTCTTGAAATATTCAGGGAAATGTCCTACCTTGCACATAAATGCCCCTGTAGCTACAATTCCGGCTCCTTCGAGGAGAGGTCTAGCGATGGTTCTTCACGAGAAGTTCAATTCAGCTTGACAAAACAGTGGGAAAAAGCCACGTATAGTGTGGCTTCTTGGTAAAGAGTCGACTTGAAAGACGTTCACTGATTCCCTTACTTCTGTTACCGTGATAAGCACAGTGTCAATTTTTATGAAATGGAACACAAGAGCGCGTGGCGGACACACTCCGGCGGCTGCTGGCAGCGCGTTCAAGTGGGAGCGAGGGAGCCTTGTTTCACGTCATTTCCCGGTGAGGAAATAAGAAGCCATTGATGATATCGAATAAGTGGCAAACCCCCTCATCCTCCAAAGCGATTACCGGCCTAAAGTGTAATCGCCTTGAAAAAGAAGTGGACTGCAATCTAGCAGTGGATTTCATATCATCAAAGACTGGTGTTTTTTCTCAGCCCGAGATGGTGTCAAAAGAGGCTGTGGTTGCTCTCATTCCTACTTGAACGTGCTGGCAGCAGCTGCTGGAGCGCACAGGTCATGCGCTCTTGTGTTCATTCAATAAAAATTGACAGTGTACGTCATACTAAGGTTGGAAGAGTTACCTTAACTCTTTCATGAGATCGATTACAAATTTGTCTATTTTACCATTGCAAACAAAATGAATTTTCTATAATGCCACTGTCTGCAGGCTCAGTGCCGATCACGATGGTGTTGGCAACTCAGCGAACTGCGCTGCCAACGACGGTTACATTATGACTCCTATCGATTCAGGAAAAAAGCGTGACGATTTCTCAGTGTGTACGAAAAATGCAATCGCCACTCACTTGAGGTAAGCCCGTTTGTAGGCATCTTTATATATGGTCAAGAATATTTAAAACTCTAAATTTTCTTTTTTTCGACAGAGTGCGACAAATCCTGTTCGCGAATGTATTTATACGTAGCCACCATCCAACGTTTTTTGTACGCGATATCGTTTTTTTTTTTGCCTTAGCCAGGTTTGGCGTTTGCGGCTAGTTTTCACCATATTGATGGCTCATGACCCCTCTTGACGGGGAAAATGCCAGATTGGAGCCATCCATACTTTCTGGATGTTTTGGGCTTACGTTTTGGCGCATTCAGTAGCCGTTTTATGTGCAAAACAATCTTTAACGCACTCGAGGCAATGAAGCGTTTTTATCCGCGTGTCTGTCTACCTCCTTGACTAGCCGCCTACGTGAGGGTGCTGTCTTGATTGTTTCTATATCTAAAGGTCAGCCAGAATTGGTTGGAAAAGGTAAAAGGGTTTGACAAATGCATCTGGCTGGTCACGACCAAGGAGGATTGAAAAAAACTGCTGGAGTGGAAGCTCCCGCATTGCCTTGCAAGCAGAAGTGAAGCCATCTTTTGCCACTGCCAGGATGGCGGAAACATGCTCTTTTCTGATAGTGCCCACTTAGAAATCAAGTGGCTTTGATATGTTAGTGTTAATTCTACGTTAGTTCTATATTAAAAGACAAATGTTCCTGACGAGATAACACACAAAAACGAGTATGGGTGACTGAATATTCGAAGGGCTTTGCCTCCGATCGGAGGCTCACTAAGAAAAACTAGTCACTCTAAGACGCACTTGGAGCACTATGTGACCCGAAAAAGTTTCCACATTACACTCGTTGGGCGTGCGAGTGAAACGCTTTGTTCTTAATCGCTGAACGGTCATACTTTATCAAGCCCCTAGTAAGGTGGCCGCTGCAGCCGCTATCTTCCAGATGCACGGCTTCACTCCTAGGCTACGATTTCCACTTCAGCAATTTTTTAAATCCACCTTGGTCACGACTTGAAAAACGTGAATATCAAGTCGAGTACATCGTCAAACCTTTTCTCCAGACTTGCGCGGCACATACCCATGCCGCTACATGCGTGTATGTGCCACAGGTGATTCACAGCAAAAATATACCCAGGAATGGTGATAGCTGATTCGTAACTGAAATGCCACTGTTAAAAGAACTAAGATCGGTTGCGTTGACCCGACGAATGCGAATAATTATTACCAGAGCCAGTGCTGAAGGCTCTGCTTTGATTCCTACCCCGCCGAAATCCCACCCAAGCCTTCTGCGTGGCAATCAAGTATTTTACCTCAGGCCTTCAAAGAGCTTTGAAAAGTACCTCACCCTGGCTCATTGCTGATGAAACGTCCATTGTATTTGCACTGCTGGCTATCTAATTTTATAAATATACTGATGCAGTCGTACGATTCAGGCTTCACGTTGGGTAAACGTAAATTGTAGTTAAGCGTAGTTAAATAGACAATAAAGTCAAATTAAAATTTACATCAGAGTGAAAACTCCAAGTATGACCACATCTAGAACGACAATATTATTACCAACAGTGCCCTTTTTACCAAAAAATTAAGGTAAATGCATAAGAACACAGGTGCTGCAGTAGGGCGTTTTCAAAATGATCCCGATGACATTAGACAGACCGCTTACAATCAATCACTAGTAATTGATCTAACTGCACTAAATAAAGAACCTTCCATGCATCAAGAGAGGCAATAAAATGCCACTTCTTTGTTTATATTTGATTCATAGAAAAAAGAACCGCCGGGACGTCACAATGGGGAGGGCGCAAGTAGTTAAAAAATTCAATTTGTGCGTGTTTACACGGGACATGTAGTGCTATCCAGCAGGGCGCAGTTGAAACAAATATGTCTGCAATCTCAAAGCCAATGGAGGGAAATCGATGAATAGCCGTCGTTGCTGCTGTGGTTTCCGCTGATTTCGGTCTGCTGCTACTTGCTTAGTAAAGCCGGGCCACGCTGTACATGGCCACAGTGACGTGGGCCGGTCGGGTCGATTTGCTTCTAGAGGCGGGTAATTTGATGTTCGCTAGCTAAACCGATGCAGATAACAAAAACGTGATTTTATTTTAAAATACGCCCTTTCTTAGCACAAAAGTAACACTACGAGGTTTCCGAACTGCCATTTCAACAATCAACGTATACTTAATTAATGTTTTTAGTATCCCTGTAAGCGTCCATTGTGGTTATGCTACGTAGCATTGGAGAGGGCTGATGATATGATTGGTTGATATGTGGTGTTCAACGTCCCAAAACATTCAAATCACTTTGAGAGATGCCGTAGTGGAGACTTTCGGAAATTTCTACCAGCTGAGGTTCTTTAACGTGCACCGAAATTTGAACACACGGGCCTACAGCATCTCCGCCTCCATCGAAAATGCAGCTGCCGCAGCCGAGATTCGATTCCGTGATCTGTGGGTCCGCAGCCAAGTACCTTAGCCAATAGACCAGCACGGCAGGGCCGCGAGAGAGGGCTACTATCCTCGCAAGAACAACGCTACGTATCTGCTAATAATAATAATAATAATAATAATAATAATAATAATAATAATAATAATAATAATAATAACACTAATATGACGAAGAAGAACCAAAATAACAAGAAGAAGAGAAATCTCTTATTTGCAATTTGAAAAAGCAGCACAGCAATTCAAAATAGTCCTGCATAAAACTCATTCAGCGAGACGGGCAGAACGAACAGACAGCAGAACACAAGACTCAATATATCTAAGACCAGATAGATGCAGACAGTTTTTTTTTTCGCGTATGTATACAATTAACACGTGCTCGTACGGCAATGAACAACAAAATAAATCTCATACTAGTATAAGTAATGTCGCCTAGCCTGATATTAGATCATGCAATAGCAACAGTATAACAATAGCAAACCATCAGGCTTTTGAAGAAGTAAAAAAAAAGATCGAAAGGAAAAAACAAGAAAACTAAAAGGAAGAAGACAAAGCATTATAACATTGTTCTAACGCGTGCATGCTCCACCGCGGTGGTTCAGTGGCTAAGGTACTTGGCTGCTGATTCGCAGGTCGCGGGATCGAATCCCGTCTGCGGTGGCTGCATTTCCGATGAAGGCGGAAATGATGTAGGCCCGTGTGATCAGCTTTGGGTGCACGTTAAAGAACGCCAGGTGGTGGAAATTTCCGGAGCCCTCCACTATGGCGTCTCTTATGACCATAGTGTGGTTTTGGGACATCAAACCCCACATATGAATCAATCTAACGCGTGCATAAAAAAGAAGAGAAAAAAAGGAAAACATGATTGATATATGCTTTATTACACCAAGGGCATGCATAGCCTGATGCAACATAGCAGTCTTTAAATTCTGATACCACCGATGAATTTACCCGAAGAAACGAACAAGTATTGTGAATAGGTTACAGATTAATGCGACAAAGAGGTTGTCTCAGTTTCAATTTTTATATAGCACGAAAAACACTAGCGCGTTGTTTAATAAAGCATGATGGTATGAAGCAGCTATGAGTGCGCTGACAATATCTAATGGAGCAGCGAATCCTCCTAAAACGGCTCTTAGGATGAAGTCAGCGTGCAGGGACGTATAGAACCTTAGAATTGTTGTACCGAAAATACCTCGGAACAGCCGTTTGAGTGAACAGGTCAAGAAAACTAAACCATCGTAGTGATTTAAAAAGGTCTGCGCCTGAGGACGGTTGTAAATAATAAGATGGAGTTTACTTTAATTTTCCAACGAATGGTACAGTGACTGAACGACGCAAAGCCGTACCCAAGAGTGTTGCTGTTGTCATGGCTACGTAAGTGTCAACTGATTATATAAAACATATGGGACAGTTCAACATATATCTGTCCATGCAGCATTTGTACAGTGCTCGACTCGTTTGTCTCTAACGACGGAACGTCGCGCGCGGGACAGCACGAGCGACATCAGCAGTCGCAAATACGCCACATCTAAGCGTGCACGGCGCTTGTTACAGTGTCTAGATATATACTGCCTAGATGGTCCCGCAGCTGATCACTGCTGGCAGCACCCGCATGGTGCGCTGCTGTGCGTTTGGGTGCATTTGCGTTCAATCGTTGCGCTCCGCAAGCGGTGCGAAGCCTGCAGGAGGCCGAGCCGCACGAGGCCAAGTATTCTTTTCCTGCATTTTCGGAGTATTTTTTTACATATATGCTTTCTTGTATAAGAACTACTTGATTGCTTTCACAGTACTGCCGCTTTGCAATACCAAATGAAGATGATTTCATGGCATACGTTTCGCCATCCGCTACTGCTCACAAAAAAAGACGCAAATCCCACGTAACTTGGGAATCAATGCTATACACGGTGACTTTGTTGTAATTTTTTATTAGGTGAAACATTATGAATTGGCACTAAATATATGCAAGAAATTGGATAGTCTACACTGGACCCAGCATTGGCGTTTCACGAAAATTTGGCTCGTCTTGCAAAGTATTTCGAAGACCCTAAGTTAAGGGAGTGATCGTGAGAGCACCTAGACGTAGGCGATTCGATAGATAAATAGATAGATAAACAGATGGATGGATAGATAGATAGGCAGACAGACAGACAGACAGAGAGACAGATAGACAGACAGACAGACAGACAGACAGACCGACAGACAGACAGACAGACAGACAGACGAACGGACGGACGGATGGACAGACAGACGGGCAGATGGACGGACAGACAGACAAATGGATGGATAGAAAGTCAGACAGACGGACGGACAGATAGACAGACAGACGGATGGACGGATAGACGAACAGGCAGACAGACGCACAAACGAACGGACGGACAGACAGATGGATGGACAGACAGACAGACGGACAAATGGACAGGCAGACAGAGAGATGAATGGACAGACAGGCAGACAAACAGACGGACGGACAGACAGACGGGTAGACGGACAGACAGGCAGACGGACGGATGGACAGACAGACAGATGGACGGACAGATGGACGGACGGACAGGTGGACGGACAGATAGACGCACAGACGGACGG